TTCATCCCTTCCACCATTCATTAGTACCTCTTCCAAAGGGGTCAAGGAAAGGGAAAAGAAAAAGTGAAAAACTACTCAAAAATAGACAGCAAGATCAATGGAACAGAAGGGCCAGGAATCGATTCTTAACACAGTTTTTTTTTTTAATTTGTGTTGGGCTGCTAGTAGGAACTTGAGTAGCTAACACTAAACAAGTCATCTGTCGATCAGAGAGGGGAAGGTCCTTACAGTCTCTTGATTTTTAAATTTGGCTGTCCCATTTTTAGATAACCCCAGTGAAGAAGAATCCATTTGGAAGTGTTGGAAGAATTTGTTCAAAGAACAAACATGTATTAAGCATCAGGCTGTGAACAAGTGAAGAACTTGGGTTTTTGTTTCTTTCCCTTCAAGGCAGGACTGCAGTTCTGTAGCTGTTAGATTATGGGAGAGAATAGTGAGAGAAATGAAGAACAAATGTATATGCTTGCTATGTATTTCCTACAGTGACTGTAGTAGCACTCTGTAAACCCTCAGCATTTCCCAGTTCTGGAAGGTAGAAATCCGAAGTCAAGGCAGGACCATGTTTCCTCTGAATCCCCCAGGGAAATACTTCCTGGTCTATTCCTGGCTACGAGGCTTGCCGGCCATTGTTGGTGTCCATGCATGAAGCTGCATCCTTCCAGTTCTGCCTTCCTTTACAGTCCCTGGCATTCTCCCCATGAATCTTTGTCTCTCAATGCCCATCTTATAAAGACACCAGTAACATTGGATTTGGGGGCCCCCTGGACTCCACTATGACTGCTAACTGCACCTGCAATAACCCTATTTATAAATAAGGTCACATTCTCAGGTCTAGGAGGGAGGACTTTCTGCCTTTTGAGAGATGGGCAAGGCAACATTCAACCCATAATGTGTTCTAATTGTCAAGTGGCTCAGTAACATTTGGATTCTGGATTTAATTAACCTAGGAATGTGTTTAGTATTTGTTTTAAGGTGGTATAATGGTTAGTGTTGGTTGGCTTAAATTCTGTTTACCTTTAACTAACTGATGTGATCTGGGCAAGTTAATTAATTACATGTGTTTCAGTTTACTTGTCTATAAAATGTAGTTAATTAGAGTACTTAAGGGACAAATATAAGCATGAGATGAGCAAGGAAAATCCTTAGAACAATGCTTGCCACATAGGCAATCGATATGTATATTTTACAAAAAACATTAGTAACCGTAAGTTGATTTTTTTTTCTTCTAATGAATTCCCATTAGAAAGGAGTAGTGGTGGTGATCATTTCCTAAAGCCTGACTGGGAGGTGGCCTAAGCCTCATGATGAGGGACCTGCATCTCATGCCAGCATGCTGGAGTTCCATGCCTTGCTCCAGCTCTTGCCTCCAGCTTCATCCCAGAGTAGATCTTAGGAGGCAGCATGAGCAGTTGGATCCCTGACACACACGTGAGAGACCTGGATTAACTTCCCAACACCTGCCCTAACTCCGGACATTTTGGGCATTTAGGTAGTGAACTAGCAGATGGGAGCTGCTGCCTGGTTCTCTCTCTCAATCTTTCTCTTTCTCTCGCTGCCTCTGAAACATGTTAAAAAATAATATAGATATAATAAAGCCTGGGGGACTAAGGGTGCTCCAGGTGCATTTCCTTCTCAGAGCCTCCTGCAAGGAGGAGCTGGGCCTGGCACAGGAAGCCACTGCCCAGTGTTCTCCCTGCATGAGCTGCCAAATGGCCTGCACCCACTTTGAACAGACCATAAAGCCCTCAGAGAAATACTTCTACATTCTTTTGGGTGACTGGACTCTGAAGAATTGATTGAGATCTTTTTGCACAGCTTACCTTACTATTATTTTCTTTGTTTACTTTGGAGTACAACTTAAAATGCCCTGTGGGCTCCGTCACATAGTTGTAGTACATCACTGTGCTTATCTTGGACTGCATTATTTCCTTAGATTTATTTTTTTATTTATTTAAAAGGCAGAGATAAGGAAAGACAAGAAGAAAGAGAGAGAAAGAGCTTCCATACACTGGATCACTTCCCAAATAATCGTAATGGTTGGAGCTGAGCCAATCCAAAGCCAGGAGCCAGGAGCTTCTTCTGAGTCTTCCTCACACAAGTGCAGGGGCCCAAGGCCTTGAATCATCTTCTGCTGCTTTCCCAGGTGATAAACAGGAAGCTGGATCAGAAGTGAAGCAGCCAGGATACAAGCTAGCACTTCCAAGTGGGATGCACCACAGGGGGGAGTTTAGTCTGCTAAGCCATGGCACTGGCCCCAGACAATGTTTTGTGTTTCACTTTTTTTAAACACATTTTCTTAGGCCTTTCCTAATTTTTTTTAACTTATTTATTCTCATTGGAAATTCAGATATACAGAGAGGAAGAAAGAGAGGAAAATTCTCCATCCGCCAATTTACTCCCCAAGCAGGTGCCACAGCTGAAGCAGAGCTGATCCAGAGCCAGGAACTAGGAGCCTCCTCTGGGTCTCCCACACAGGTACAGGGTCCCAAGGCTTTGAGCCATCCTCAACTGCTTTCTCAGGTCAGAAGCAAGGAGCTAGATAGGAAGCAGGGCCACTGGTATAAGAACCGGTGCCCATATGGGACTCCGGAGCATGTAAAGCTAGGACTTCTGCCACTAGGCTATTGCACTGGACCCCAGGACCATCTTAAAAGCGTCATAAAAGAGTCATCTTAAAAGAGTCATAATGCCTAGAATGATCTCCCTCCAGTTATAGAAGAGCTGAAATGTAGATCTGATTCTTTTTATCCTTGAGGAAGTTAGAAGATTCTCATATAACTGAAAAGATTTAGGGAACCCTCCATTTGGTAGTTCTGCAGGACACTAAACCCGATGTGCCACACTTATTTCCTGTGATCCCCATGTTGAAGACTTCAGGTAGGTGGCCTGCAAGGTGGAGTGCTAGCGATACTCAAAAAGGACAGGAAAAGCAGCAGGTGTTTGATTCAGCAGTTAAGACACTCTTTGGGCCGCCCATGTCCTATATTGTTAGTACTTGGGTTCAAGGCCTGGCTCCATTCGTAATTTCAGCTTCCTGCCACTGGACATCCTGGGAGACAGCAAGTTCAAGTGCTTAAGTCCTTGCCATCATGCACAAGACTGACTGGTGAGTGAATCAGCAAATAGGAGATATCCACAACTCCCTCCTCGCAGCATATCTCTGTCTTTCCAAGGAACACAGTTAATTAGTTTTTTTAAGAGTAGAAGAGGGTATGGATACAGAGGGAGTTTGGCTCTGGTTGTTCAATCCAGACCAACTGGATTATCTTGCTTCACTTAAATATCAAAGAAATTTTTTTAGCTGAAGGCCTTGGAGGGTCACCTAATCAACAGTTGAATCCAAGTATAGAAGGGAATTTGTTACAGATATTAAGAGTGCAATTTGTGACTGAGACAGCTGCTGTCTCAGTTCCCGTGGATACATAATTCTTAGCCTACAAAGTTTCTCCAAGTGCAGTACCAGGGAGAGCTTATTTGGGCATCACCTGAACTTCATGGAAATGCAAACTTGTGTGCCTTCCCCTAGATGCACTGAATCAGAAATTATAGGTTTTGGCCATGTAGCCCATGATTACAGATCCCTCCAGGCAGTTCTGCAAACAATTTTTGAAAAAGATTTATTTATTTTTAAGACAGGTTTACAGAGACAAGAGTCAGAAACATCTTCCATTCACTAGTTCACTCTACAAATGTCTGCTATGGCTATAGCTGTGCTGATCCAAAGCCAGGAGCCAGGAGCTTCTTCCCGGTCCCTTATATGTCTATAAGGTCCCAAGGCTTTAGGCCATCCTCCACTGCTTCCCTAGGCCACATGCAGGGAGCTGAATAGGAAGTGGAGCAGCCAGGATACAAATCGGTGCCCATATGGGAAACTGGCATTCATATGGAATACTGGCACCTGCAGCCAGAGAGTTAGCCAATTGAGTCATCACACTGGCTCCTGAAAAGCATTATGAACAGCATCAACTTGACTCACCTGGGGTTTAGTTGTGCTTTTCCAAGAGTAAGTACAAGGGATGAAAATGTTTACAACTGTGCCAGGGGAATGGGTACCTGCCATTCTTTGGTGTCATGTTAGGATGAAGAAAACACAATCAAAGATCTATCCTAGCCCCCGTTCTATAGACAGGGAGGCTGAGACCTACCCAAGTCACACAGACACTTACTAGGTCCCGCTGTTCAGAGATGACTGGCTCAGAGTCCTGTGAAATTGCTCATCATAGAGTCAGGTTGAAGATAGTGAGAGCTCACCTGCTAGGATTAAGATCCAAAGCCCTACTCCAAAAGACATGGCCCAATATGGAGGTCTTTTTTCTACTGCAGCCCACATGTGGAATTTGCCCGCCAACAAAACCTTGTATAGATTTTTTTTTAAAGACAAATCAATCTTTTTATAAAGGAAAACCAGGGACAGCTGTTTGGTGCTGTGGTTAAGATATCACTTAGGAACCCAATGTGATAATCTGGTAGCTAAAGTCCTCACCTTGTGTTTGCCAGTATTCCATATGGGCACGGGTTGCTGTCCTGGCTACTTCACTTCCCTTCCAGCTCCCTGCTTGTGGTGTGGGAAAGCAGTCGCGCAGGGCCCAAGACCTTGGGACCCTGTACCCAGGTGGGAGACCTGGAAGAAGCTTCTGGCTCCTGGCTTTGGATTTGCTCAGCTCCAGCCATTGTGTTCACTTGGGGAGTGAATCAGCACATGGAAGTTTTCCCAATTTGGAGAAAGAGTTGGGAAGCAAAATACAGGAGGGCACAGAACTCCCAATAGGATTTACCAAAAGCAATCTTTGCCACAACACATGATAATCAGCTTTTCATTTAAACACAAGGGAAAATCCTTAATATGCACATGAAAAAAATCAACTAATATGTAGAGGAACCCCAATCAGACTCAGGTGACCTCTCACAGAAAATTCTACAGGTCATAAGAGAATAAAATGACATATTCCAGAATCTGAAAGGAAAAAACTGTTGGCTCAGAATAACTTACCCAGCAAAACTTTCCTTTGTCTTTGAAAATGAAAGAAAATTCATCCACAGTAAAGAAAAGCTCAAAGAATTTGCCTCTTAGAGATCTGTGCTACAAATGATGTCTTTAAAAGATGTTCAGAGAAAAAGAATAGCACCTGCCAAAACCAAAAGCAAATGTGAAGCACATTCCAATAAAATGACAAAAGAAGTCTAAATCAGGGTCCGGCATAGTGGCTTAGCAGCTAAAGTCCTCGCCTTGAACATACCAGGATCTGATATGGACACTGGTTCTGATCGCGGCAGCCTGACTTCCCATCCAGCTCCGTGCTTGTGGCCTATGAAGGTGATTGAGGACGGCCCAAAGCCTTGGGATTCTGCACCTGCGTGGGAGACCTGGAGGAAGTTCCTGGCTCCTGGCTTTGGATTGTGCAGCACCGGCCATTACAGTCACTTGGAGAGTGAAACATTGGATGGAAGATCTTCCTCTCTGTCTCTCCTCCTGTCTATATCTGACTTTGCAATAAAAATAAATAAATATTATTTTTTTTAAAAAAAAGACTAAATCAATGAATGAACAACCCATTGCTAAAATGACAGGACCAAATTACTACCTGTCAATATTAACCCTGAATGGATTAAACTCATCAAGTATTATAGATTAGCAGACTGGATCAAAAACAAAACCAGGGCATGGTACAGTATCCTAGTGGCTAAAGTCATCAGCTTGCAACCCCCAGGATCCCATATAGGTGCCAGTTCCTGTCTTAGCTACTCCACTTCTCTTCTAGCTCCCTGCTTGTGGCCTGGGAAAGCAATTGAGGACAACCCAAAGCCTTGGGACCCTGCACCCATGTGGGAGACCTAGAAGAAGCTCCTGGCTCCTGATTTCAAAATACCTCAGCTCTGGCCATTGAGGCTACTTGGGAAGTGAACCAGCAGAAGGAAGATCTTTCCTCTGTCTCACCTTCTCTCTATAAATCTGAGTTTCCAATAAAAAGTAAGTAAATCTTTAAAAAAAATGTGTGTTGTATATAGGAGACATTTCTCAACAGCAGAGATATACCGAAACTGAAAGTAAAAGAATAGAAAACGATATTCCAGGCCAATGAAAAGGCAAAATGAACTGATATAGTTATTCTTATATCAGATAATGTAGACTTTGACATGGAAATTTTAAGAGAGATGAAGAAGGGTGCCACATAATGATCAAAGGATTTATTCAGCAAGAAGAGATCACCTTACTGGTTTCTTAGGATGTTTGCTCTTTCATCTCAAATTTTACTTGTTTTTTCTCTCTTGCTTTTCCTTGCTAGCCTGACCAAAAGTTTGTTTTGTTCATCTTAAAAACAAATGGACTTTTCTTGTTACAATTTGTAACTTTTCAGTTTCAATTCCATTTATTTCTGCCATGATTCTTTTTTATCATTTCTTGCTTTCTATTCATTTTTTTTTCCTTTTTAACAAGTCCTTAAGATGTATTATTAGATCATTTATTTGAGATGTTTCTATTTTTGCAAGTACTTGATGTTATAAATGTCCCTCTGAATGTTGTTTTTGCTACATCTCATGGGTTTTGATATTTTTGTTTTTATTCTAATTTCTTCAGAAAATTATTTGTTATTAATTTATTCAGTGACACATAGGTCATATAATAGCATCATTTTCTTCAAGAAGGTTTTTTGTTTTTCATTTCTTCAGCAGCACATTGGTCATTCAGTAGCATGTCATTTAATTTCACGTTGTTGTAAATTTTCTAGTTTTCTTCCTTCTATTGATTTTGTTTTATGGCTTTTCATTTAAGGGGATGTACAGTAGCTGTATAATAGAGACTATCATATGCAGATGTGAAGATACAATGTAGTGTGCATCTCTATTTCCAAATCGAAGATGGACTCCCAGTGAAATTGTTGAATATATCTTGACAATAGGATGCTAGACTGCCTGCCATTGTCCACTCCTAGAATGTTAGGATGCACTTAAATAAAAGAATAATGGACCTATGACTGTTTATGAATGATTTTACTATTGTAATAATATATGGAAAATCAGTGGGGAGAGGGGATTAAAAAAAAGGGGGAGGGGAAATCCCAGCATCTATGGGACTGTATCATAAAATAATTTTTTAAACTAATCAGAGAAAAACGCAATTCCTTTTTTGGTGAGGACAATTTTACAAAGTAACATCTGCTATGACTATAATTTCATAGATGAGATGACTTTTTTTTTAACACTAAAAATACATTAAATATAACCTTAGTATAAAGGACAGATTTTTTTTTATATTGAATCACTTTTTTTCCAAGAGCTTTTTGCTATGTGTTTTCCTCTTGTTTCCCCACAGAGTAGTAAACCTTTATGAACAATCAGAGGAGGCTCAAATGTCCTGCTTTAGACTCCTGATTTACAAGGACCCTGTACATCTTGTCCTGCCAACTAGCATCACCATGTGAGCATTTGATAAATGTTCTTTGATGATAAAAATGATGAGGACAGAATGGATTTATAATGTTTCTTATAGTTAGGGAACTACATGCTAGAGATGGAGAGGACTTAAATTGCTTTTCCAAGGTCACACAACCAGTTATAAAAAGGAGCTGGTACTTGAATAGAAATCTTCCCTCTCCTGGTTCAGAATCCTTCGCCCTTAGCAGCACGGATGCTGAATAAAGAAGTGTTGCAGAATGATTCTTATTTGCTTAAAGCTTGGGCGGGGGGCGGGGGGGTGCTACTCTGAGGCAAGAAAGATAAAATGAATTCCAATATCAGGCACTTATTGACAGGTGTAAAGAGCGAGTTACTAGAAGTGCAACCGGTGTCACATGTAAAAAAGGCAGCGAAAAAGGGCATCAGGGATTTTTCTCTATGACAAAACACAACAGCTGGAGGGGCCCGGTTGCACTGCCACAGATGCTAACTGATTTCTGGAGTTCACTACTGGCATGGCTTAGGCCGGTTTTTCATTTTCAATTGTTGTTTTTATTTGAGACACAGAATGGCAGAGCAAAAGGAGGCAAGAAGAGAGAGTGCCCATCTAGTGACTCCCTTCCCAGATGTTCTGAGCAGCTGGAAAAGCTGCAAACTCAATCTGGGTCTCCATTTGGCTATCAGGAACCCACATAACTTAGCTATCATTACGACCTCCCTAAGTCTGCATTAGCAGGAAGCTGGCTGGCATCAGAGCCGGTACTGAACCTAGTCACATACCCATCTCATTAGAAGTGTGTTAAACAAGAAGAAATGCTAGTGTATCCATTATGAAACTGTAATGAAGACAGCTTCCCTTCCTTTCACATTTTACTTAACAAAGGCCAACTGCCAATAATTGTGAATTACCTGTGACTAACCCTATGAAGAATAGCAGTTGCACAGGAATTCCAGGAGTCTCCTAAAAGGAGATGACCTGAAATGGTAGGCATCACCCAGAGCTGGGGAGAAAGTATGCAACCGTCAAACTACAAACAGCTGAGCTGCCCAAAACCCTCCACATGGTTGACACCATGGATCATCCCACACAGCTTGAAAACCTGTTTGATTATCAATTGACTGAACTCATTCTTTTTTCTAACTACAACCTGCAGCTACCCCCCTTCCTTTTAAAAGTCTTTTTTTTCTGGTTTATTGGGTAGAAAGAGTACATTCTGGATCCAGATAGCACTCTTTTCCCAAGGCTTCCTCAAATAAATCCTTTTCTTTTATCAACTGTCATTTCCAGTGAGCCAACTGTCCCGTGACAAGCAGCAAGGGTCTGATTCATTTTGCCAAGTAACCGTTTTACTCAGGTGTCACTGGAGATACTTATAGTGGAGATTCCTGGACCGCAGTTCAGTAGCCTTAAAACATGAAACTTTGGTGTGCACACCCATGGAGTACCTTTATAGATTATATTCTATTCAAGTGTATTCAAGTATAAGGGAGCAAACTATAGCGTCTTAGATGAGGATATGCAAGGAAAGGATAAGGAAGTAAATTTACCATGACAAATGATTTGAAATAACCCCAAGTGAGAACCATAAGACTTCGTATGACCAAAATCTGCTCAGGAAAGTGAGCCAGTGGAGGTAAATAACCAGGGCTGGTTTACATTATTGTTGCGTGAAAAGCTCTACTACAGTGTAAGTGATGTTTTTGGAACTGATGATCTTGTAGGAATCTAATGCTTTAAATTTTGAGGCATCTGGCTTCAGTGCTTTCAAGTTTCTGGAAATGAAACGTGGGGGCAGGTAGTAACAGAATATATCAGAGATATGACTTTTGTGTATGAAAAGATGATTCAGAAAGATTGTATGTTGTAACATAGATGTATTTGAAGAAAGTTCTCTTTTGGGCAGGCTGCTGAACCGATTCAAAGCCAGGAGTCAGGACTGTTTCCCTGGTACCCCAGCTGTATACACCTGCTGGGTCAAGTTTCTCTTTCAGACTCCTGGACATTTTCAGTTTCAAATGCGACTTCCTTTCTCCCTGTTTGTGACAGAAGATTCTATTTTCTATTAGCAGTTCCTGGCTTCCTTCTTAACACTTCCTGGCATTCTCAATGAATTAACCTTGCCCTAATTTAATTAGCCAGCAAGTTCTTACTTGTAAATCATCCTAGGTTTGTTTCTAGATGGTTCAGATAGAAGGATGTGGCAACACAAAGGAAAGAAAGAACCTCAGAATTCAAAGTATCTTTGAACTTTAAGACTGGTGTGTGCTGGTTCAGCTTTGTTTTTGCATAAGGAAAGTGTGTGTGTGTGTGTGTGTGTGTGTGTTTAAAGTGGTGCTCAGCCCTGTGGATGCATGAATGGCGGAGTTATTGTTTTAATTTCAGGGATTGAAATTCTTGCCTTTCTCACATACTTGTGTGGGTGTGGTCTGGGAGAGCTCTTGTTAAAATGGAAAAACAGCAGTGGGAGTTAGAGACAGAAGAGGATATGAGGCAGGGGTCCACCTACTCCAGGACTGTCACATATAAATGCATAGCTCTGGGCAGCATGTTAGCCTCTTCCTCCTTCCCAGACACAAGGACACACACCTGGGTCCCCACATCCCAAGTCAGCATTATTCATCTAAGAATAGCACATAGGTTCACTGATTGTGTCAGAAGGATATTCAAAGTCATAACAGTAATTCAACATTTGAACATCTGGAAAATGTTGAAAAACATTTTCAACATGTACTGTGACTCACCTGGAAGAGGGTATGAAGCAGGCATCCCCAGCCGTCACTGATGGGCATAAGCCTTGGGACATAGTGAAACAATAAAACAGAAGTGTGTTGGGTTGCCAGGGCTGCCATAGCAAAGTGCCACAGAGAGTGGCTTAAACCACAGAAATTTATTTTCTTATGACTGGAGGCTAGAAGCCCAGAATCAAGGTGGAACCAGAGTTGTTTTCTTTCTGAGACCTCTCTCTGACTTGTAGAGGACCATTTTCTCCATATGTCTACATGGAGTCTTCTCTGCACGCATCTATGTCTGCCTGGCTCCTTTTTGAGGACATCAGTCATACTGAGCAAGAGCCCACAGAATGATTGCATTTCCACTTAATGCAATCACCCTGTGATGCATTCAAGTTTAGGATTTCAACAAATGTGAGAGCAGTTTAGAAAGTTCATAAAAGGATGAAAGTAAGAGATAAGCTTATTGTGGTACAAAGAACTTTGAAATGTATGCATAGAGTTTGGGGGGGGGGTTCCAACATTTATTTATTTTCTTTATTGGAAAGGCAGATCAGATGTATGGAGAGGAGAGGGAAAGCTCTTCTATCAACTGGTTCACTCCCCAACTAGTTGTAACAACTGGAGCTGAACCAATCTAAAACCAGGAGCCAGGAGCTTCTTTCTAGCCTCCCATGCATGTGCAGTGTTCCAAGGCTTTGGGCCATCCTCCACTGCTTTCCCAGGCCACAAGTAGGGAGCTGGAAGGGAAGTGGGGCAGCCAGAGCACAAATTGGTACCCGTATGGAATCCTGGAGCTTGCAAAGTACAGATTTAGCCATTGAGCCAAGGCACTGAGCCCATGGAATTTTAATATGTGTTTTCCTTGAGCTTTTTGAAGACTTCCTGTAGATTTACAAAGAAACATTTCACTGAATTATTCTACTTTTGGGAAATTACACTAAGGAAATAGAATTCCTCCAATAATAGTGTTTATAGTACTTCCCATATAATCCTCTTTTCTTACCCCTTATATATTTTGAACATTTCTTTATGCATCTTAATACCTACAGCATCAATCTTAACCACTAGCTCATATTTTGTCATTAGACAAAGACTTTACTAGTTCTATTCTTAATTTTTTGAATAATAAAAATATATGAGTCAAATAAAAAACATGGAAGGTAAAAAGTCTTTTTAAAAGTTTTAAATTTATATTTATTTGCAAAGAGGAGAGACGGGCAAAGAGACAGAGACAGAGGACAAGAGGGTGATCTTCCAGTTTCTGGTTCACTTCTCAGATATCCTCAGTTACTAGGGTTGGGTCACACCACAACCAGGAAACTGGAACTCCATTCAGGTTTCCCACAAAGATGGTGGAGACCAAAGTCTTGAGTTACCACCTGCTGCCTCCCAGAGAATGCCTTAGCATGAAATTGGATCAGAAGCGGAGTAGCCAGGATGCAAAACAGGCCCTCAAGTGTGTCAAGTGTCAGGGTCAGCTGCTGCACCACAATGCCCAGCATGCAAACACTGAGAATATAGCCTACATCCCATCCCTGTCCCTCATAAGCCACCCCTTGTATTAGTTTCTTGTATATCCTTCTGATATCTTCTTATGCAAATAAGAGGACACATTCTTCTTTACTCTGCTTTCTCATACAAAAGGGAGCATGCTGTTCATACCACTTCATACCTTGCTTTTTCAAAATGTAACCTATTTCTGGAATTTCTGTTATTTACACAGTTCCTCATTCTCTCCTACAGTCACAAAATGTACAACTGTGGCTAAACCATAGTCGATTTCCCTGGTCTTCTACCTTCTACACAAAGTTGTTTCTAATCTTTTTCTGTTACAAATAAAGGCGCAGAGAATACACTCTGACACAGGTCATTTCCTACATGTACCGGCCTATCAATAAGATAAATTGTCAGGAGAGGGATTGCTGTGTCATCATGCATCTGTTGTTGTGATGGGCATAGCCATGTTGTCCTGAAAGACGACTTGCATCATCTTGGCAGTCCCATGTGCAGCAAACTGAGACTCTCTCTTTATAGCTTCTCTGCCAAAGAATGAGTTGTGGGGCCCGGTGCAGTGGTGCAGTGGTTAAGGTGTCCTTGCCTTGCACGCCCGGGGTCCCATATGGGCACCGGTTCTAATCCCAGCAGCCCCGCTTCCCATCCAGCTCCCTGCCTGTAGCCCGGGAAAGCAGTCAAGGACGGCCCAAAGCTTTGGGAACCTGCACCTGCGTGGGAGACCTGGAAGAGGCTCCTGGCTTCGGATCGGCATAGCGTCAGCCGTTGCACTCACTTGGGGAGTGAATCATTGGACGGAAGATCTTCCTCTCTGTCTCTCCTCTCTGTATATCCGCCTTTCAATAAAAATAAATCTTTAAAAAAAAAAAAGAATGAGTTGTGAACTGTT